CGCGATAAATCGATCCCCAAGAGGTCGATTTCTACCCGCCGATTCAGGCGGGTAGTGTAGACCCAGCCTAAGTGATCACTACATATCTGACCTCTCAGTCCTCATCCTCAAAGGAAACCTGCACAACACCTTCAAAACATGAGCCTGGGAGATTAAAGGCGTAACTTTGATAGCCACTAAAAATCATGGGAGCAGAGAGACTGAATTTATTGCTTATTATAACAATCTATGCCATTAACAACCCTCCCCCACCCGACTTCAAATATTGACCTTTACAATATTTGTTGATATATTATTTTTCCCAAAAAAAAGGATCTACCTTTCTACAACTGGACTTAAACATCTCAGTCAGTTACATACCTTTGGTGAAATGATCTTTTCAATAGTAGTCTCCAAATTGCATTCAAATATGTGAGTTTTTGTGAGCTTCTTCTCCCAGTGAGCGGCGAGCCATATTTTGGCCAATGGCCCACGCTTGTTCATAAACAAATGCATATAGAACATGTTGCCTATACTCAGTAGCTGAATTCACGTGAACTAGGGAAAAACACAAGAATTAATCTTAAAAATTTGAATACACAATGTTAATGGAGATTAAAGAAAACTGACTTTAATGTTCATTATAAGATAAAGGGATAAAATACTTTGGATTGGAGTACTTGTGGCACCTAGAGACTAACAAATCTATTTGAGCATAAGCTTTCGTGGGCTACAGCCCACTTCTTCGGATGCATAGAAGAAGTGGGCTGTAGCCCACGAAAGCTTATGCTCAAATAAATTTGTTAGTCTCTAAGGTGCCAGAAGTACTCCTGTTCTTTTTGCGGATACAGACTAACACGGCTGCTACTCTGAAACCTACTTTGGATTGGATTTTCAGGCAGTTTAGGCCTGCAAAATGTTTGTGTAATTAATCCTATTGTGTGTAGAAATTGTATGACTATGCATGAAAATGTGTCTGGTTAGCTGTTTCTGTGCATAATAGTGGCAACTACACAATTACACATGAATTTTGGGCCCCTAAACTCTCTAAAAATCTAGATCTTTCAGTAAATTATTAGAAGCCATCTGCTAGTTACAGCCACATACACCTCTAATTTTGATAGGGACATATGTCAGATAATCTGTATAAAGTAAAGTGATAAACTGTAAGCCATGCTGAACATTTCTGTTAGAAATCAAAGAACAGGTGTTTTTTTGAGCAGAATGCTTTTTTTTTTTAAAGTACTTGGCTCAGTGGTAGAGAAGAAAAGGGAATATGCAAAAAGCAGGGGAAATGGAGAAAAAGTAGGAGAATTAAAAGGAAATCGATATTGAAAAGAAAAAAGGGCATGAAGTACACCCAACTACAAAAGATACTCTCTTTTGTAGTACTACCTTATAAAGAAAAGAAAGGACCGTTTCTAGCTTCTCAGGGTGGGTAGAGACGAATAATGATACTTACTTTCCTTTGTAAAGTGCTTTGAGATCTACAGATAAAACGTGCTATAAAAGATGTAAGTATTATTATCTCATGACCTGTACAGACTCAAGAAGCAGCCATTGGCTGTCTCCCACCAGATAGAGGGGAAAAAGAGGCTGCCATACTCATTACAATCCCTACTGAAGAAAGGAGCTACTGCCTCTGAAGTACCAGTGAGTCACAGTAGATGGCATTCTAGGGCATGGACTTCCCAAAATGCATTTTAATAAAATGTTGCCATGGTCTTCAGAAAAGGAAGGAGGAGTAAAGGGAATACTATAGATCTGCTGAAAGAAGAAAGTACAAGCAGTTACTTTTCAGATCCTTTTCCAAATACCCTTCCTCTACTTCCTTCTTGTGAATAGCCACCCATTGTTCCTCTCTTTCACCCCAATCTACTTTTTTTACTTTGCACATATTGAAAAACTTGGTCAGTATTATTCATTCTGTACAGTGGCTTTGTAATGTGCTATGACAGAAACTATAAAAAGTTTCTTTAAAGTCTTGGGGGGAGGGAAGGAATTGAAGAGAGCAGCTAAGGCATCCTAGTCCTTTCCACTCCCCATGGACAAGTGTTGTAGTATTGTTTCATAGCAAGTGGAGGCTCATGAGGGGAGCCAAGTGTGTGTGTGTGTAATGGATAGTTATGACAGTTGGATGGAGGCTTTATCTTTGCTAATGGGACAGTTTTGAGTTAGGAAGCAGCTTTTCATGAAAGAATGGATATGAGAGGAAGAAGTTAGGGCTACAAGGGTTTTCCTTTGTAGGGGATGAGTCTGGAAATTGGAAAGGTTTCACTACCATGGGGATTCAGTTTATAGGAAGATAAGCAGATTCCAGGTGTGGAACATTGCAAAAGCAGACTGGAATGGAACAGAAAGTTTCTGGCCTTCCATCCCCTCTTTCCAATCACCACCAACTAGCCGTCCCCAGCCTCTTGCACTCCTCCTCCGAGTTTGCCACAACCCATGAAACTGTGAACACCGGAGGGTGCAAAGCAACTGAGATTTGGAACACCCATCTCATTAGCACACACACAACTCAATGTGGAAGTTCTGGAACCACTGCAGAAGGGTCTAAATTTGTTGGTGCAGGGAAGAGAATGTTTTCAAAACATGTGCTGCCCACCTAAGATTTGTTTAGTTTGCAAGAATAGAGAATGAGTGTGAGGGGGATTTGGGGAAATAAAGAGGCGGGGGGTAGATGGAGAGGGGAAATAAAGTTGGAGAATAGAAAAATGTGTAGGGCCAAGGGCTAGGGGAGCAGCTATGAACGAGGTATGTGGAGAAAGCAGGTTGTAAGCCATGTATATGCAGTGGAGAACGAGGTGAAAGAAGGGGTATGTGGGGATGAGGTGTATTATATTGCATGTAGAGGAAAGGGGTATAGGATGAGGGGGAAACGTGGGGAGGGGGCACAGGGAGAAGGTGCAGGAGAGATGTGGGGCAGGGATGATGGATCATGTGTAAGGGGAGGGTGGTAGAGGGAATGAGAGGGGTACATGGGAAGAAGACAGAAGGGGCAGGGGTCTGATAAGGAATGGGGGTACAGAGTGAGGGGGAAGATAAGGCATATATAAGAGGAGGGGTGTATGGAATGAAGGGTAGAGGCAATATAGGGCAGGAGGGGGCATATATGGAGTAGGGGTATGATAGGACATACCGCATAGGCTGGGTGTGTGTGTGTATGGGGTGAGGGCAGGGGTGATATAGGGCACTGGAGTACATGATGGGATGGTATGTGTGGGTGTACGGGGTAAGGTGGTACAAGGCATGGGGAATGCAGGTTGGGGAGTATGTGGTACTCCTGAGGGCATTCTGTGCCAAAAAAAATAAAAAAATTGTGCCAAAAAAATTAAAAATTCTGTTCACAATATTTTAAAATTCTGCAAGTTTCATTTATCAATAAATAAATGCAGAGGCTCCAGCATGGCAGTGGGGAGCACAGGCCACTGGCTGCACGAAGGTGGGAGATCACCCTGCAGCCTCCCCACCCCCGGTCTCAGCAGTGAAGCTGCAGCAGTCCCTGACACAGCACAAGGCCTGGGCTGCCCCAGAAACACTCTGGGGTCCTGCCCCTCTGAGCCAGGTGCACTAGGTGTGGGGCAGGCAGGCTCAACCAGGCAGAATCCAAATGTGAAGGGGCATTGTGTGGGGGGATCCAGGTGTGGGGTGAGAGGGTTCTGTGTGGGACAATCTGGGTGCAGGCAACTCAGTGGGGGAGGGGTGTCTAGGTGTGGGGGATCTGAATGCATAGAGGTTCATTGGGGTAGGTGGGTGAGTTCTAGGTGCAGGGGCAATGGGACTCTGCAGGGGCTTCCAGGTGAAGGTGCTCAGAGGGGGGGTCTGGGTGCTAGGAGAGTGGGGCTTGGTGGGGTGGGGGTCTGGGTGCAGGTAATTGGGGGTCAGTGGTATGGGGGTCTGGATGTGGGGGCTCAGGGGTGTGCAGGGGGGGGGTTTGAGTGCAGGGAGCTCACTGGGGCGTGGCCTGGGTGCAGGGGTCAGAGTCCGGAAGCTAGGGGGGCTCCAGATGCAGGCGCTGAGGTTCAGTAGGGTGGGGTTCGAGTATGGAAAGCTAGCGAGGGTTCTGGATGTACCAGGTGAGGCTTGGCTGGGGTTTCTGGGTATGGGAGGTTTGGCTGCACAGGGGTTGGGTGGATGAGGGAGCAGCTCCCTGCACAGTGACCCCTCTCCCCACAGCTGAGGAACGATGTGGGCCAGAAGCAGGGGAGGTAGCTGAGCTTCCTGCAGCTGGAGGAGGTTTCTGGGGGTGGATCTGACACAGCCCCAGCAACTCCTTGCAGGGGAAGAGGAAGTCCCGTCCTCTACTGCCTCCACCCCAGATGGGACTAGCAGCTGATCCCAGCTCAGGTTCGGAGCCACTGGCTGCGGTGTCCCCAGCCCCACGGTGATTTACCTCTCCTCCGGCTGCCTGAAACGACCTACCTGCACTGCTAGGGAGGGGCATGTGACTGCTCTTGCAGCTTCCCTTTGCTTCCCTGTCAGAAAGTCATTTTTTTGCAGGGAAGCAAAGAAAGCTGCAGAGGACATGAATTCTGTGCACATGCAGGGGCGCAGAATTCCCCCAGGAGTGCTGTGGGGAGTGCAGGTATATGGAGTGAGAGTGATATAGGGCATAGGGTGCAGGTTGTTTGGAGTGGGGGGTGTAGGGGATGCTGGTGAGGAGTACACAGGGGTGTATGGGGTGTACATGGGGGTGCAAGGTAGGTGTGTCAGGGTGCAGGGTAGGGTACATGGGGGTATGCGGTGATGGGGTGGAGGACATGGGGTGTACATGAGGCTGTAGGGGGGGAGTAGTGAGGTGAGGGGATGCAGAGCAGGGGTGATGGAGGTCCTGGGGCTGCAGGGTGGGGAACATGGGGGTATGGGATGAGGGGGACAGAGGGTGTGTGGGGGTGCAGGGTGGGGCCGTGGGGGTGTTGTTGGGCGGGGGGCGCTCGGGCAGTCAGAGGCCCCTGGGGGAGACCGTACACACAGCGCAGCGGCGGCCGCCCCACCCCGAGTCAGTCGAGCCCCTGCCGGCTCGCCCGCAGCCCGCCCTTCTCTCCTCAGCGCAACCGCCGCCGCCAGTCCGACTGCGCACGCGCAACTGTGGCGCGAGGCGCCAACCGCCGGTGGCGCGAAGACCCCGAGTGGGGCGCGTGCCGCCGAGAAGGGGCTCGCGCTTTGCAGCCGGGGAGCGAACGAGCGCGCGCGCACGGAAGCCGGGCTGCAGCCGCCAGTGGGGTGGGCATGGGCGTCCCCCCAGTGCAGAGGGGCTGCCGGCGTATGGAAATGCCCCTCTGTTGCTGGTGTGATCACTGCAACACGTTATTGGTTAGGGGCCCAGCTGCTGTTTTCAGGCCTTTGTTGCTGTATATTTGAGTCTGCCAGAACAATAAACAAAAAAACAAAATAACCAAAAACTATAAACACCGGAAACGGTGTGTGTGTGTTATGCGATATGTATAACATCAACATACAAATGGACAAACATACCTTTAGTTATACCTGCCACTGACTCTGCGGGTAACCATGAATAAGCCACTTCTCTTTCTGCCTTCATTTCCCCAGCTGTACAATCAGCAAGTACCTAACCTCCCTTGTAAAGCACTTTGAGATCCTGAGGAAAGGTGTGATATTAGTGCAAAGTGCTATTATTAATGATTATTCTATTTATTATCAAGAGCTTTTTGTGGGCTCAGGCCCAGATCCTGCAATTGCTACACACACTGGGGGGGAGGGATAGCTCAGTGGTTTGAGCATTGGCCTGCTAAACCCAGGGTTGTGAGTTCAATCCTTGAGGGGGCCACTTAGGCATCTGGGGTAAGATCAGTACTTGGTCCTCCTAGTGAAGGCAGGGGGCTGGACTCAATGACATTTCAAGGTCCCTTCCAGTTCTAGGAGATGGGACATCTCCATTAATTTAAAAAAAAAAATTAATTTAACTTTAGACACAGGATGTTAGGAAATTGTTTTTTTGTGGCAGTATGTTTGGTTAGGCTGCCTTGGGTTTTGAAACTATCTTTAAAAGAAAAACAAACAGACGCACATAACTGACAACATTTAGAACAAACATCCATGTTTACCCATGGCCCTAAGCCTACTTTAAAATGAACTAAAAGCAGCCTTCACCTCTAGGAAAAGGGACAGACTTTTATTGAAATTCACCTTGCCTATCAGTGAAGAAATGTGTTTGCTAGATTGGCTAATCCAATTTACAGTGGTTGCCCTTTAAAATCTTTCATTACCTGCTCCCATTGAAATCAATGGCAAATCTCCAGTTTACTTTAATGGCAAGAGACAAACGAGTATATTCACCTGTCTGAAATGTGTACTGATCAAGCTACTCTCTGCTATATTCTTTGCTCAGTGGGATATCTGAGTGCCTAAGCTAACATCCATCGGACGCAATAAATTCACATTAATTAATAAAAATATGTGTAATGGCTTATTAATTGCACAGCACCGATCACCATCACACTTAGGTACACTAAGAAAGGACCAAATGCTGCTTTCAGTTATATGGGTATAAATCCGTTGGCTGCAATGCAATTACTTTGTGTTTACACAAGGGTATAGGAGAGCAGAATCTGGCCCATAGAATGGAAAGCTGATCTCATGCTGGTGTAGGTAGGACTATTTCCCTTGAACTTGGTGGAATTATACTGCTGCAAGTGAATGCAGAACAAAGCTTATAAGAGCCGACACTAGCTCTTCTGAAATGATGGCCCTTTTTCTCCCACCACCATGCTAGCCCCTCAACAAATGTCAATAGAAAATAACCCAAAACAAAATCAAATAAACCCAGAACAAAATCAATCAGCCCGATGCAAAAGACAATAAACAGGCCTTGTGCCCCGCCACCCTCCAAGCTCAGACTCTGGGGCTCCCTCATGGAGAATGGATTCCAAAAGGCGACAGCCCTCAGCAGAAAGGGAGTTGCCACTGGTCAGAGTTTTACGATAGAAGCCGGCAGCAAGAACATCTGAATTGAACTCAGCCATCATGATGGGCCAAGATGAGAGGTGTTTCTCAGATAACAGAGTTCCAGGCTATTCAGAGCTTTGAAGATTCTCACTGTCATCTCAGAATCAAACAGTAAGGCAGTGAAGTGACTTGAGCACCTGTTTCATGAGTTCCTAGTGTAACACTGATAGACCCCAGTTGTCGGTGGGTGGGATTAAACCTGGGACTTCTGGAGCTAAATGCATGAGCTAAAATCCACATGGCCTTTAGCTAAGGCAGTAGAGCAGACTCATTAACCTCTCTCTCTAAGTGGTCTCGGTGCCACTAGATGGGACAGAACACCACACCCAGAAGGTGTGTGAGTTACACTAGCATTCTGCATCATCTGAAGGATCTGAGCTGTTTCATTTACTCCAGGTAGCTATGCACATATGCAAGAGTGAGCTAGTTCCATTCTGCCTCCTCTAGTCTCAACAGAAATGCCAGCTACGTTCCAGATGTGCCTGCTTAGACTATGAGGCGGAAATCTGGACACAGCTGGATTTTCACATCCCTGATTTCATATGCAATCCTGGCAGTGAGAAAAAAACTACTTTGATTTGTGAACTGAGCACATTTTAAATGAGACTCAATATAGAACCCCCCAGTGTCATTTTACAATCACTTTTCCAAAATTGCATTTTAAAGAGTAATTTACGTGACCTGGACACCCGGAGGCACTGCTCCTGTAAAGGATAAATCTGGTGATCTGACAGCTGCACTAACAGACACTTCTTCAGTGAATGACACTAAGTGCAGCTCATCATGAGACTGACAGACAAGTCACACATGCTGGTTTTGCAAGTTCTAGAGAATTAACACAATGGTACATTCCAGTTCATACTCCTGCAGGGAAGAAGGTTCTCACTGCTTTTCTGCAATTCTGTCGCTGTGACTCTCCCGCCATATATCAAATTACCCAAAACATTTGCATTGGTGCTAGCTCAAAGTGCATCTGAGTTACTCTGGCTTTGCCCAGTAAGAACCTTCCTTCCCTTTCCGCTTTCTTCATTCAAGAAGGCAGAAGAAGCAGGAACCTGAGTGAGGTGGGAGCATGGCTGAGGGCAGAAAGCCCAGCAAACTAGGGGCTCTTTTGAAAGTCACCCCATTTTTCATGTCTTATGCTGGGTAATTTTTAACTCCTTCCTGCTCCTATATTCTAAGTCACCATATATAGGAGGTGCTCTGAGGGTGCTATTGTCTATCTGGATGTGCTGGAAAGGCACAAACCCTGGGCTCCTGTTGCAGTGTGTGGGAAGCTTTTCTGGTTGGGGGTTCCTTATTCTCTCTGTCCTAATGAGGAGTTCCCTTTGAGCCAGCACTGCAGATGGAAATGACTCATCCGGTCCCTGCAAGACTGCCCCAAATTCTGCAGTGACTCCATTTGTATGTGCATTGATAGTTGCGTGCCCAACCGTTGAGCACGTCTGGTAAGCGTGACTGGCTGTACGTCTGCATGCACACAGGTGCATGGTTGTAGATCGCTGTCTCGCAAACAGGACACCCCTGGAAATTTTCCATGAGCTCCAGCGGGAACCTGCTAGCACACCAGATTCGAAATGTAAGCAAGGCCATTTTCCCCAAAGTCTGCAGGGCTCTCTGAGTGAAGTTGAGAATCACCCCAGCACACCACTCTCTCTAGGAGCTTCATGGTGATGACTGCAGAGTTGTTGTAGCTCTGTTGGTCTCAGGATATTAGTGAGACAAGGGGGGGAGGTGAGGTAATATCTTTTATTGGCTCAAAACAATCACTCTGCTCTTGAATTAACTCACGCAGAAAAATGATAAAAACCCAGAACGTATCACCCCTGGGTGAACACTTTTCACAAAGTGATCACTCTATATCTGACCTCTCAGTCCTCATTCTCCAAGGAAACCTGTACCGCACCTTCAAAAGACGAGCCTGGGAGCTTAAATTCATAACTGTGCTAGACACCAAAAATCACAAAAATAATAAAGACACTGGATTTATGGCTCATTACAACACTCTGTAACCCACTAACCCTCCTTTGTCTTACAGCTGTAGAGGTGTTAGCTGCCCACTTCACTTTGAATGGTCTCTTGCAACATATGTTAACCCCTTATCTGTTCCACCTTGTATTTAGCTGTGACTCGCTGAGTACTATCTCAAAAGTTCAAAAGCTTCTCCCTCACCAACAGAAGTTGGTCCCATAAAAGTTATTACCTTGCCTACCGTGTCTCTCTTATGTTGATGATATAATTTAGTTTCTTGCAAACATTTCAAGAGATAGGGGTTTTTCCTTTCAGCCCGAGGACTTTGAATGGTCTGATTTAAACACAGTGAGCCTTGTTTTCTCATTTACATCAACTTTACACCAGTGTGAGAACAGAACCCAGTGCAGTCCTGGGAACCTCCCGTAGAATGTACCAAGAAACAGAAGGCAATTTGTAGAAGGGAAATGTGGGCTGGAAGAATTGATGTAGGGAATTCAATATAGCTTGATGAGGAGACTCAGAGGTGCTGTGTCAACCAGCAAACCTCTAACTGGCAGGAACACTGGGCAGGAGATCATGCCGGGTGCTACGGGAAATGATAAATAAAAGTCATGACATGAAATTTCAGAAAAGCTCTGGTCAGACTAGAAATCCCAGAGAGCAAAAGTTAGACCCCACCTCTGTTGTTTCCGGTGGAGAATCCTTTGTTTCTGAACTGCAATGGTGGTGATATAGTGTGTAACTGGCCAGGGGTGAGCTGATAACACGCTGAATGGCACCCTGTCCCTCCCCCTCGCCTCCCACAAATGGTTTCAAGGGGTAGCAGGTCAACCCCATTGATAAATATTCCAGCACAAAGAGGAAAGCAAAGAGAGTTTTCACAGCCTGATCACATCCACTTTGCTTTACATTAAAGCCAAGCACAGACGACAGCCTCCTGGGCTTCAAAGCCTCAGCCTGACACATCAGCTGCCGCTGCCTCTCAGCGCCAGGGACAATTCTTCACCCTGTTGCTTTCCCCATCTCCCCGGTGGCCTGGTGCTAGCGGGAGATAATTAGACTTCAATTATCATCGGTTATATTTTCACACGTTTCCCATGCAAATCCCTGGCACGTCTAGTGGGTTCTGGCCCATCCCCCGAGCAGCTTTTGGCGTTAAAAAATCGATCCTTTGCCTTCTGGTTCGCATATCTGCTGGTGCAAGACCCCCTCTAGGAGAAGTACTTACCTTACAGCACCTGCAGCGTGGCAGATCAAAGGTTGCATTTCCTTATGGGGGATGACTGGTTCCTGGCATGGGGTACTTGTCCTTCCTTCCGCATGGGTTTCACTGGGAGAGGGATAAGCTGCTCATTATACACACATTAGGCCTGAGTGATCGCCCTGCAGTAGGTCTGCTCATTAGCAGGTGTCACTGAAGTCAGTGGGAACCTCTCGAGACAGCTACAGAGAATCCACAGAAAGAGGAAGAAAATGGAGCAGAGTGGAACGGTTTTTTATTATTATTATCAGGACACAGCCCCATTAACACAGTCACTGCAGGTGTCTCTACAGCCTCCTCCGTTAGCGGCTGGCTCTTCCACCTCCTTTCTCCTGTTGGCAATCAAAGGCTGTTTGCAATTCCACTCTCCTGGCACTGGGCTATTCCACAGATGGAGCCATGGCACAGGCTAACCCCGTCTAACAAAGCTCACGTCTCCTGAACAGACTTTGCTGGCTCTGGAGAATTCATCCCCTCCTTTAAAGAAAACCACCCAAGGTGTCCCAGTCACCACATCTCACGTAGGGAAGGGTGCCTCACTACAAATTATTCTTAAAGTGGCTTGAATACAATGGGGGGGGGGGGTGAGAACCAATCATGGTGGCCTTTCTGGAAGATGCTTTAGCCAGACACATGTTATCTGTCTCAATACGGGGTGACATTTAATAGCCTGGAATCTACAGGAGGTCAGACTAGAGGATCTACTGGACTTTTGGGGCCTTCAACTCTGAATATATGTATCAGACCGGAAGTCACTATCTGGAGAGTCTGCTGGCACAGGAGTGCATGGGACAGCAAGAGACTTCCAGAGCAGTTCTAAATAAGTTCTGTTCTGTTCTTTTCTTTTTTTAAAGGACAGTTCTGATTAAGTCTTAAAAAGAAATGAGTTAATTGAACTTACAGTGCAATAACTTTGAACATTTCCTGTCTTGGTCATGGATTCAGCTGGGATCTGCATTTCCTGTGTCCCCATTGGATATCAGATGGAACTCCTTGCTGTCAAAGATCAGTAAAATGCCAGCACCAGTCGCAGTTATGGAGATACTGGAGTAAAGGCAGGTATCTCTGAAAGCTCTTCTGCAAATATATTATACGCCCGCACGCACACACACACGCACACACACACACACACATTCAGATTTAGCAGATAGTTATTTCTATTGATAAGACTGTGTCTTCTCTGAGCTGTGGGTGCATTTTCATGAATAAAAAGCATAAATCACAACCACTGTAGCACAGTGATAAGCAACCTATGGCATGCGTGCCAAAGGCGGCACGCGAGCTGATTTTCAGTGGCACTCACACTGCCCGGGTCCTGGCCACCGGTCCGGGGGGCTCTGCATTTTAATTTCATTTTAAATGAAGCTTCTTAAACATTTTAAAAACCTTATTTACTTTACATACAACAATAGTTTAGTTCTATATTACAGACTTATAGAAAGAGACCTTCTAAAAACGTTAAAATGTATCACAGGCACGTGAAACCGTACATTAGAGTGAATAAATGAAGACTTGGCACACCACTTCTGAAAGGTTGCCGACCCCGGCTGTAGCATCATGCTGCCACGACTTTCAGTCTCTGGGAACCTTCCTTTCCCTAACGACCATGATAACAGAAATAACAGCTGTCATGGAAGCACTAATCCATAGATGTCAAAGGGCCAGATTCTGATACAACTATTCATTATCTGTGTTAGCTTGACACCTACGAGCCCAGTCATGGAGCAGGACCCTGTTGTGCTAGGTGCTGTACAGACACAGAACAAAGAGAAGCTCCTTGCCCCAGGAGCTCACAATGTATAAGACAAGAGACAACAGATGGATACAGACCAACAGGAAAGTGCAAGGAAACAATGAGACGGTATTGGTCAGTACAACAGGCAGAGATCCCAGCACGCTAGCAGATGTGCTCTTAGCTACGTCCATACAGCAGCTGAGAGGGTACTTCCCAGTGCAGGTGGACAGGTACGTGCTAGCTCCGCTTGAGCTAGTGTGCTAAATATAGCAGCGTAGCCCTGGA